TTGCTGCCACTTCGACTGAAGTAGAATTCGGCATCATGAGGAGGGTATCGCCTTTGCGTACCCGACCCGATTCTACTTTACCAACAATTATGGTGCCCATATCCTTATATTTCTCGGAGACGGGAATAATAACGGGTCCTTTCAGTTTCCGGTTTGGCGGGTTCAGGTTGTCCAGGTACTCCAGTAGAGAAGGGCCACTGTAATGTTCATTAGGAGGCGAAAACCATCCGGAAATGGCAGTGACTCACTCATACCAAGGAACGGTCTGTTTGTCAGCCCTTTCCTTGACATTGACGGCAGTATAGGCAGAGACAGGAATATACACGAGATCTGTTTTGGGATTATAGCCTGTTGCTCTTGCAAAGGGGTTCAATTTATCCCTGATTTCATCGAATCGAGCCTTGTCCCATTCCACAGTAGGGTCGTCCATCTTGTTGACGACCACCACAATTTTGTTGACACCTGCTGTGCGAACCAGAGTGATATGTTCTCGAGTCTGCCCGCCTTTCTCGAACCCAGTTTCGAATTCTCCCTTCCGTGCTGAAATAACGAGAACTGATATATCTGCTTGTGCAGCGCCACTGATCATACTTGGTACGAACGTCTTGTGACCTGGAGCGTCGAGGATTGTATATCGTCTCTTGTCTGTCTCGAAATATGCTCGACCCACTTCCACGGTCTTGCCCTTATCACGTTCCTGTGGAGTAGAGTCTAGGGCCCATGACAGGTACCAACTTTCTCGACCAATTTCTTTCGCATCTCGTTCATATTTCTCCAATGTCCTCTTGTCGACCATTCCACATAGCACTAGGATCTGACCGCCCAGTGTACTCTTACCGGCATCTACATGCCCGGTAAAGACGACGTTGAGATGAACCTTTACTGTAGACAAAGGTATCAATAAAAATCGGACAAATATATGGCAATTGAATTATTTACTGACCATTAGGGTCCACAACATCCTCCTCCTCATTGCCGTATAGCTCCTTGAGGGTCTGGTCATCAGCTACAGCCGCTTGCTCCTTGACGATGGCATCTGCATCATTCTTTGCTCTTTCCATAGTGAAGACTGCTCCCTTATCTTTCCGGGAGGGCGCCTCCTTTTTCTCCGAAGATTTCTCAGCCGACTGTGACGCCGTTGGTTTTGAAGCGGCAGCTTGGGTCTTTGCCGCAGATTTTGTAGGCGTCGTAGTGCCAGAGGCAGGGCGACTAGATGTTGTAGCGGCATCGGATTTTGTAGTAGCTGGTAATGGATCCTTTGAAGCAGCAGCCGGTGGCTTAGAACCACCAATATTGAGTGAGATTGTTACTGGTGGCGCCGTATTTTCAACCTGAGGTGCCTCTTTACTTCGCTCTTGTGGTGGGATCGTAGCAGGGGGATTGGCTTGAGAATAGTTCTGAGGATAATTTTGTTGTTGGTGCTGTGGAGGGCCTCTTGGCTGTTGTTGATCATAAGGCGCATAATAAGGATATTGGGAGGGATGGTTCGAGCCGGGAGGCGGATAATATCCTTGTTGATATCCTTGCTGTTGTTGTGTTTGATAGAAATTCTGTTGCTGCTGCTGTTGTTGTTGCGGATAGTAGTTTGGATATGCATTTGGGTATGCAAAACCACCAGAGGGTGGCTGAGATGGGTTACCCTGTCCTGGTTGTTGGCTCTGACCTTGCTGAGGAGGTCTAAATCCTTGTCCTGGAACAAATTCGAATGCATTAGCGTTTAATCGTGACATCGTGGATCGTGGTCGATCTCAAGTTGGTGTGGTTGCTTTTGCTCTTCGAACCCACCTCAACAATCAATTTTTAATGAATATTTCGTGAGACAATTCTGAGTCATGATCCCTTCAGGTGCCGATAATCTGAGTCAAAACCAAAAGCTTATTTGTTCGACGTGGAAGTTTTCTGCTTCTTCAGCAATGTCCGATAACGAGTCACTGCACGCCACAACCGCTGGCGCAAACATGAAGGCTATCTAGATCATTACCTGACTCATCTAAACTCGTATTTAATCAAATTAATGGTTCGAATTAAGATAAAACTACCTTAGCTTGTCCCTATAGTTCTGCTCTCGGGCTGGGCTGTAGAGAGCTCGCGATGTGGCTTCCCAATCGACTCTCGTCGAAAAGGGTCTGCGTAAGAGCAGGTGGGTTCGAATTTGGACGCAACCTAACCGAACTACTGCCAGGTTCTCTCGATATCCCATTAGAAACAAAGTAGGAGATGGAGGAGCAGAAGACTCTTTCTAATCGGGGTGCATTGGTGATCCGGGTTTCGAACATACCATCCCAAGGTAAGCTTCGTACAACTCCCTTTGACACGTTTTGGATATATGGTCAACAGCCCCACTCTAACACTGTCACTTACAAACAAATAGCGGAAAAGCACGAAGTAAAAGCTGCGATAGCTCGAGTTTACCATCGCGGGATCCGTGAAAGGGCTCGTCAAGTGCAACCAGAAGATCCGTCTGACGAGTCTGAAGGGCCATGGCTTATGAACTTTAGACTTGATCTTAGAGAAACACACGACCACAGTGGGAGGCTGATGTCCTCCGCTCAAATGCTGTTGCCTGCATGGGGGTGGTTATTCCTCGATTTTGTCCTCCAGCACCCCGTCCAAGTACCCTTCCACCCGGACTGGAACAACAAAAAAGATACCGAGTACCAGACCCTTAAATTCTCGAGGAATGAAGACAGCAAACTCACGCATAATAGGCATGCTATTTCAAGTCTCAAATCAAAACCACATCAAGCCCTTCAAGACGAGTTCTCTTCTCATAAGTAAAGTCCTTGGAATGAGAATTTTTGTGATCCGCTTCGGTTTCATCGTCTTCAAATTCGCGCAGGCCGTGTTCGAGTATCGGAGCGGTCCACAGGTCAAAGTAGATCATGCTATCTTTGATCAGTATTTCTTTGACATTCTCATAACGAATTTTAATGAAGTCGTGTTCTGGACTGGTGGGAAACCCTATAACAATTTGGATCGAATGGATTCCATCTGCAAATTCCAGATATGCGCGAGGTGCGTCAGGGTTGACGAGCGTCTGTTCCCATTCCACAAC